AATAGAATAGAATAGAGTAGAATGCCTTTATTGTCACTATACAGGTGTAAAGTGAGATACAGAGCATCACCTACTCAGTGTAACACACATACTTGGGGGGGACACTTCTGCAGCGCTATATACATATGGACAGTAAGTGTTATTTATAAATTATTGCACAGTATTGTTACAGTTCTGCAGCGCTATGTACATATGGACAGTAATGTTATGTATATACAATTATTGCACATGGAATTTGGTATCAATAGATAGTGGTGATCAATGGAGGAAGTGGGAAGTGGGGGGGCTGTGTTATCGGTGCATGTGTGAGTTCAGGGTGGTTATTGCTTTAGGGAAGAAACTGTTTTTGAGTCTGTGGGTTTTTGTATTAATGCACCTGTAGCGCTTCCCTGAGGGAAGCAGTCTGAACATGTTGAAGCCAGGGTGGGAGCTGTCCTTGATGATGTTTGCTGCCCTACCGAGACAGCGGGAGGAATAAATGTCCATCATGGAGGGGAGAGGACAGCCGATGATCTTCTGTGCTGTCTTTACCACACTCTGAAGCCTCACTCTATCCACCTTGGTGCAGCTGCCGTACCATAGCGTAAATGTGCCTACAACAGCGTCAGTTGCTGTATTGGATTTAGTAGTCCAGTGGTTAAGGCATCCAGCCTGACGCTCTAACCACTGGACTATCAAGTCTGCGACATGACAATAGTCACCTAAGCCACATATCCTGTACTGCCATGGGAGGCAGGTGTCACACCAGAGACCAGCTACCGGTAGAGGAGCAGGGCCAAAAGACTAGTTTCCATTAAGACTTTACAGGATTTTCAAAGTAAAGCTCAACATTTGCAGCTGAAACAGGAAAATGCATGAATGCAGCCAAAAATGGGTTTGGTTTTTATTTCGTGAGGAAATAACAATATTGCATGGTAAAAAGCACCAAAAAGCGGATTTTCCATGATATGGCCTCTTTAACGCTTAAGTGGAGGTGTGTGGATGAAAACGTTGTTATAAAGTTCACTGATTGCAGCTGGCTTCAAGGCCTAATTAAACTCATTATTGTAATTCTGGTTTATAGAGGGCAGAGTAAGGGAGAAATACAAAGTTCCACTCTGTTCTCAAATGACCAGATCTGCAACTTGCATGGAAAATCTGCAGTAATAGTAGCCTTCGCACAGCTCAAAATGCCCCTCTAACAATCATCATCCCTCTGTCCCTTGATTTTTTTCTGGCTCTATTTAAACCCCAAAAGTAAACATTTCCCCTCCATTATTATCCCTCCCAATTATATTCCACCCACAACCCCAGTTGACTGGCTCGTGATACCGGGCCTCTTCATGTTGTGTCACTCCAAAGAAAACAGTCCTACTGAAAGTTGCGGACAAGCGCAGCTAACCTGATACAAGCAACCTCTCTGCTCCAATTACACAACATGTTTACCACAACCCGTTCAATTACAAACAGGAAATAAAAAAGACAAACATCCATTTTTAAATGAACCTCAAGGACTTAAATGACAGGGAGGAGATACCTCTGACACCAGCAGAATGACACTGGTTCAAATGCTGGGGGGCAGCTTGTATTTTCCATGGCTGCTGGTCATAAACAAGAGACAGAGCTGAACTACATCTGCATTTCCACGGAAAACCCACCATGACGATAAAGCAACAGGTCCAAAGGGATCTTGAGGACAGTCTGGGGCTACAAAGCAGTTTGTGCCAACACAGTTTAATAATAAATGGACTCCAGCCACCATGACTAAAGTTGGCCCAACATGAATCTTTATTGTTCAGTTATCGTTAACAAAAATCACAAAGATTTACAGTGTGTCCTTGTCCATTACCAAATAACATGGCCCCACTTTCTGATACAGGATACCAACCTACCTAGGTTACAGGATACCTAGCTAAACAAAGAGTTAGGACATGCAGTACTTCTGGGATTACAAGTAGGTGTTGGATTATTTCCTATGGTGCAACATTTGTTCGTAGAGTTCTGGATGCTGTAAGAGTAAAAATCAGCCTGTGTTGGGTCTACAGCTGGATGGACCCAAGGGCTACTTCATGATGTAACAGAAAAAACTTAAAGCAAAACTTGAGTTATTTGGGTTTTCGTAAAAATCAAGATTATTTTAGCACATTCACACAAGCTGGGTGTCCTTTTACCAACGTTTTCCATCCTTTTTTGCAGAGGTGGAAAGTAACGAATTACATTTACTCACGTTACTGTAATTGATCAGCTTTTTTGTATATTTACACTTTTTGAGTCGTTTTTAAAATCTGTACTTTTACTTTTACTCGAGTAAGTTTTTAAAAAAGAATTGTAATTCGCTACATTTTAAATCGTATCCGTTACTGAGTAAAAACAAACTATAGGCTTAATAAATTAAAAATATTGCGTGTAGCAGCGTCAGAACAGGAAGAGACACCTACTTGAGCGCCGCGTCTAAACCGTGTGTGTGTGGGGGGGGGGGGGGGGGGGTGGGGGTACACTTCTGCTCAAAGACATCAGTTCAGTCCCTGTGATCCACTCGCTGTTTACCTCCCCTCTCCCTCCTCTCCTGTGGGTTGGAACCCGCACCTTCGCGCACCGGTGTGACGCCATCAGAATTCTGCTCGGTTCGGTAACCAGACTCGGTTCCGTGCTTGAAACGTGTTTCCCTACCGCTCCGCACGACAGCAGCAAAATAATGTTTAATGCTCATAACAAGTGGATTATCAGCGCTTTGCTCATAAGACAGAAGACCTGCAGGCCTCTGTGAGTTAAAACATCCTGATACTGTTCAGGTGTGAACATTGTGCTCCATCCCTGTGGTTGAACTCAGAAGATGCTTCTTGATGCCACAGATATGTGATGATTTAGCTTGTTTCTTTATTTTACTCCAGAATAAGAGATTAAATTATTACAAAAGCAGTTCAGTGTAGTTCAATTAGTCATTCAAAAGATTCTAACATGCTGCAGTGTGTGTGTGTGTGTGTGTGTGTGTGTGTGTGTGTGTGTGTGTGTGTGTGTGTGTGTGTGTGTGTGTGTGTGTGTGTGTGTGTGTGTGTGTGTGTGTGTGTGTGCACTGATGTAGCCATCTTTACGCTGACAAAATTGTAACTAAGTAACTTTTACTTTGAGTACATTTAATTTACAATACTTTTTACTTTTAACTGAGTAAAAATTTAGGCAAGTACTTTTACTTGTACTTGAGTAAAAAAATTATCAAAGTATTGGTACTCGTACTTAAGTAGGGAATTTTAGTACTCTTTCCACCTCTGCTTTTTTGTAAATGTTGAATTGGTACATTTAGATTTATTAATAGGAGGCTAAATAAATTACAAACTCATTAAATTTTACAGCCTCAACAGGACCTGAAATCTAAATGTTCTAAAAAGAAGGAAAAAAAAGATCAAGAAGAATACCTCCTGATGTTTTAACATTGAAACTGCATGCAACTTCTGTGTAGATGATTTCCAAAAGCTTCAAAGTTTTATTGTGAGCCAAAGAAGTCAGAAATAGAAGAAAAAAGGTCGGTAAATGTTAACACCTCATGTGAGATTGCTTTCCTCTTTCATATCAGTGCTGGTGTGCAGGTGTCTGCTGATGTGGTCTGTGAGTGATAGCTCCTCTTAGACACACCATCCCAGAACACGATAGCACGACAGACGTGATTTAAAACAGAGCTGATGCAGAGCACACGCCCATGTAATTACATGCAATGGAAAATCCCTGTATTCTAAATAAACCAGTAATAAAACTGAGAGGGAATCTTTTTAAAATCAGGGCTAATTTCTACAATCAAATTAAATCATCTGGTCGTATGAAAAGCTAAGTTCCCAGAAAACCAGCCAGTGGAGGAAACTATGATTAGCAAGTTGTCTCCAGATGACCAGAAGGTCTCACACCGCTGTGTCTTTGTCACAGAAACACACTCTTGGCAAACTTCAAGATTCCTCTGTAGACACCAGCAGACGCCACAAGCACTATTTGCTGGTTGACGCTCTCCTCTGTGGCTTCAGAGGGTTATGAATCTCACAACATATTTCTGTAATAAACGCGTGACAGGGGAATGTGTGGCACTAAATAGCCTCGGTTTCCATTTAAAAGGGGGACAGCACTAAAAAATGTGACGATTACTAAGATCACACCAAAATGAACGTTCAGCACCGCCGATCTCAACATCACAAAAAATGGAGAAAAAACAACAACATTAAACAGCTGTTTTCTTTTAGTGTTTTTAGGGTGAAAAACTGACTATTTAACTCTTTGTAATCCGTAGGTCATAGGTCCAAAACACCAAAGGATGTGTGCGGTGTTGAGCAGGTAAACATCTGTTGATAAGAACGCACTCAGCAGCCTAATCCATGCATCGTTTTACACAACCAGTCAGAACAAACAGACCCGATCCCTAACAGCAGGCTGTGTGACCCGACTAAAGCCTGTCAGCACGAGTGTGGAAGGACTTGGCCTGCTAACCTGTTAGATGCATGAACTGGACCTGACAAAGGAATCCTCCCTCCCTTCCACCCCCCCCCCCCTCCTCCATCCTTGCATTCCTCCCCTCTCTGGAAGCCTGCCACGCTCCCGCTACCCTCCGGACCTCGGCAGTCATGTTTGGAAAAATAAACTGAGCAACTGGAGAAATGACGAGTGTCAGCGCACGCGGCAGCTTCCTGACCCTCTTAGCTGAAGTCACGAACAGAAGGATGCAGAGTGAACACACACATAATGTCTGTTGTCTGTGTGTGAGTGTGTGTGTGTGTGTGTGTGAGTGAGAGAGAGAGAGAGAGAGACACTCAGGAAATGGCAGGAATGTAGAAAGACAGTGTAGAAAGGCTCTAGGAGGTCCATACTGACCAAATCTCACACAATGTCACGAGCGGTTCGACACACTCACAAGCTGAACACATCCTGCATGACTAACCACACAGAGACACTCTGTGGACTCTCACTGACAAATGTGCATGAAGTGCAACAAGGTCAGCATTCAGACGATCAGCTTGAGGGTTACAAACTCGTCCAGTACTTACCCACTGGAAGAGCTGAGGGACACCGAGTTGACTGAAGAGCTCAGCTTCCTGTTGTCCCAAAGTCTCACCTCACGGCCACGCATCTACACACACACGTGGACACAAGGCACGGAGAGAGCCCACAACACACTGATCACACACAGCTCTTTACAACGGGAGCTAAACCTTTCTTTTAATATGCTTTTATTTGATGGAAGCTTGAAGACAAGCTGAAGATGTGTTTGGTAAATCTGACAACGTTAAAAAAGCCTTTGTTTCCTAAAGAAACCAACGTTTTTCTGCTTCTCCACATTTAGCTGTTAAAGTCTTTACAGTTTTATGTGTGGGCGTCATACTCTGGTATGAGGGTCATAGATTAGTACAGGTTTGGTTTAACAGGAAGAATGAATGAATAAATAAATAAATAAATAATAGCAAATGCTCATATTGTTTTTGGTTTTTAATGTGAAAGCTCCTCAAAACTGGAACCGTCTTCCTGCAGGTATTCGTTCAGTCACTTCTGATCAAACTTAGGCTATTATATCAGACGCCTGCTTTTGTACATGGTTTTACATGGTTATCAGGTGAAACACCATAAATGAATAAATGTATTGGTCACTTCACTTTTGTAATTAACAGACCTTAAATAAATGTTGTGGCTTTTGTCGTTCGTGAATATATGCCTTTGTTTATGGTGTTGATAGTGTGCAGTTACATACATGGGGCTGTGTGTGTGTGTGTGTGTGTGTGTGTGTGTGTGTGTGTGTGTGTGTGTGTGTGTGTGTGTGTGTGTGTGTGTGTGTGTGTTTTGTTGTTTTTAAGGAGTGCTTGTTGTTTCATCTAATTTCAACTGGAATTGATGCAAAAAAAAAGACATATAGAATAACAAAATTCTAAGAAACTAGATAAAATATATTTTTCTCATGTCTGTTAGAAAAATGCTGATCAATGAAATGTGTGTAAGTCAGCTTGACTTAGCTGTATTTATCATGTGCTTCCAGGTACGCAGGTCAGAGTGTACAAATACGTTTTAATATAGCAGTTTTACATAAGTCAAATTCACTTTTTACTTTTATACCTACTGGGGAAATTAAATCTTCTCAAAGATCTTTTTAAAGAAAGAGAAAGAAGGTTATGCTTGAATGTTTAGTTTATGGTTATTATTGCCCGTCAGTGACTACTGTTCAAAGATTAATAAACAAAAGTTCATTTGGACATTCTTACCATATCAAAGCCGGTAGTCACTAAAAGGTCATCTTTGGCCCACAGGATGCGGGAATCCTTGCTGTTCTGGAGGCTCTTGGCACTCTGTAGGAGAAATGAATACAGAGGCATGACCCTGCTGTCCAACTTTACGGTAAGACAAGGTTATTTCAGGTCAGCGTCTTTGTGATGCCTCAGCTAAAGCCTAATCTTTTTGTGTAGGGAGTGATGAGGACCATGGACGTAATTTTGGGGGGGGGGACAGGGGGGACATGTCCCCCCCCCCCCCCCACTTTTTCCAAAGTCAAGTTTTGACCCCTGCACTTTTTACCATCCAAAAACAATATTACGCTATATTAAATTGACACTGGTTGAGCTCTAGGACCAAGCGGAAAACAACAATTTGTGTTGAAGCCTGTTTCCCATTATACTGCAAAGATACCCATACACCCCCCCCCCCCCCCCCCCCCACTTCTTAAGTGAAAATTACGTCCTTGATGCGGACACATTTCCCAGGAGCCTTTACCTGGTTGTGTGAAACAGAACAGGACTTGTCCCATAAGGCGGGTTGGTGTGTGCATCTCAGTCTATCAAACTAGGACTGTGTGCACTCCCTCAGTGAGCTGAGATGTTCTTACTCCATTGCCATGGCGATATGAGTCAAAACACCCCAGACTGGCTGGCTTTAATAGGTGGTCTTCAAACACAAATGACATATGTTGTCAGAAGTAATGAGCGAAAACAACTGAGTGTTGAAACAAGAGGAATGTCTGTAAAAACAAGAAATTCAAGTGCAAAGGGTCATGAGCGGCAGCAGGATTTAGTGTGTGTGCTGCTTTTCTGTCATCGTTGCAGATGTGTGTACTGTAATTATGAACACAATGAGCAGGAAGTTCTTGCAGAATCTGAATCAGTTTAGAGCTGGTCTTTTGTTGCCATGACTTCAAAAAGTCTCCTCTGTCAGGACAGGTAACACAGTCTTTAGGCTCCCCATCCGTGCATCAACTCAGGGTTTTCATGAAACTTCTATGGAAAATGAGCTAGTGTCATCTCTGTCATGGTCTACTTAACCCCAACAGTCGTTGTTCACAGCAGGAAGACTTGTGCTGCAGGAGTGTGCATTCTGATTATTACGCAACGACAAATGTCGAGCCGTTCAGTTATAGCAGGGACCTGAATGCCTGAGCCTTTAGGGTGCTTTTCCAAACCTGCAAATGAAGCCAACGACTGGAAATAAATGCACAGTGAGAGACCAAATCCTGTTTGGGAGTTGTGCACATCTGTGAGGGGAGAAAGCAACAAGCTGGTCCTGTTTTTAATACTTATCCCCCTTCTTTCTGGTGCTCCGCATTTCCAGCCAGAGAGGCCTGAGAATCAAATACTGAAAAGGGGGAACAGAGGATGTGGTTATCTAAGTTTTGTATTAAATGAGCGCTTCATTATCCCCTAATCCTCCCCAGGTGCTACTAACTTTCAAACATGCGGGCAATGAATGAGGCATTATGTGTTAGTCTGATCCAGATACAGCCGCTTTTGACAGAAGGCATGAAGAGTAGAAGATCTCGTCTTAGCCAGTTGGACTGCTGCATGTTTTATTTATGTTAGTGAGAAGGAATTTTACAAGTTCACTCCCTTCTCCACAGGGCGCTCTTTTAGTATGTTATCTTTCTGAGTACGTGTGGACATAAAGAGACTCTTCTGGCTCCTTTAAGATGAGCAGCTGACTACCTCAGACTAACCATGACCAAACATGATTGGAGTTTAAACATGTTACCAACATACACTGTGATATAACACTGTTGAGTTATCTCGTGTTTTTAAAAGCATTTAACTTTTAAAAGACCACCAAAATGCCCAAAGAACTACTGGAAATGTTACTTGATATGTTCACATGGATCCCTGCAGGTAAAGTAAAAGGAACTTTTACACAGGACTGTATTACACATCTAACTAAAAATGAAGTAGCAAGAACTGTTGTCTGTACTTTGCAAAAAATAAAAAATAAAAGAAGTTACATTTTATTAAGTTTATTCTTTACACCACGTTTGCTGCTGTGGACCCCAGACTCTGTACATCTCTCCCTCTGAGCCTGAGACCAGTGAACTCAATGGTTCCCACTCAAAACTCCTCTTCAGGTAGATTTTTGCAAACTCCTGCTCATCTGCAGCTTCCCCTGTAGTTTCTTCTACTGTTATATTTCAATTCAATTCAAATTTATTTATATAGCGCCAAATCAAGACAAGAGTCGTCTCAAGGCGCTTCACATAATAAACATTCCAATTCAGGTCAGTTCATTAAGCCAATCAGTAAAAAGTTTCCTATATAAGGAACCCAGCAAATTGCATCAAGTCACTGACTAGTGTCAGAGTCTTTACAGCAATCCTCTTACTAAGCAAGCATATAGCGACAGTGGAGAGGAAAACTCCCTTTTAACAGGAAGAAACCTCCAGAGAATCCTGGCTCAGTATAAGCAGCCATCCACCACGACTCACTGGGGATCGAGAAGACAGAGCAGGCACACACGCACGCACACACACACACACACACACACACACACACACACACACAAAACATATATAAACATATATACCAAGTAGTGTTTCTATGGTTACATTGTGATTTCTTAGTAAATATTCTATTTGGTGGGGGATAAACTTTATTGTATTTATCCTAGTGAATCTATAATTAAATGGGTAAACTAGTAGTAGCACATTCAATGTCAAAAAAGGTAAAATGTTATTATCAGGAGAGGGAGAATGTTTAAGTGGTTCAAGCCGATGGCTGAGGGCACCACAGCTCAGCAGAACATCATTGTAGCTTCTGGGGAGATAAACATTGAGAGAAAAAAATAAAGTTAACAGCTGAAATCGCAGGAAATAATACAGTTAAAGAGCAGATTGTAGAAGAAAGTAGTCGAGTGTGGAAAGTGGTCAGTGTGTCCTCCAACAGTCTAAGCCTATAGCAGCATAACTACAGAGATAACTCTGGATAAACCTAGCCTTTTAGATGGAGGCATGTTGGAGGCAGGTTAAGGGAGAGCCTTCTTTATCAACTGTACACTCCACCTCCCTCTACTCCCCCACTTGTCCAGATCTAGGCTAACATCAGATTTTAACCATAGGCCCTATCAAATTAAAATGTTTTAAGCCTATTCTTAAAAGTAGACAAGGTGTCTGCCTCACAGACTAAAGCTGGGAGCTGGTTCCACAAGAGAGGAGCCTGATAGCTAAAAGATCTGCCTCCCATCCTATTTTTAGATATTCTGGGAACCACCAGTAGACCTGCAGTCTGAGAGCGAAGTGCTCGGTTAGGAACATATGGAACTATCAGATCACTGATGTATGATGGAGCTTGATTGTTAACATTTTTATATGAGAGAAGGAAGATCGTAAAATATATTCCGAATTTAACAGGCAGCCAATGTAGGGAAGTTAAGACAAGAGAGATATGATCTCTCTTTTTAATTCTCATCAGAACTCTAGCTGCAGCATTATGGATAAGCTGAAGACTTTAACTAACTACTCTTGATAGGCACTGTGTGGAGGTAAAACTAAATGCTGCAAAGCAAATGGAGGCAGTGGAAGAGTCGCTTTGGTCAGTCACAGGCCAATCAGAGGCAAGATGTCTGAATATCATGAAACGTGACAAGTCAAATCTGCCGTTTTCTACCCGTCACACTTTTACTCTAACTTATCCTGCGGTACGTCACGAGTCCTCAAGGTTGCAGAAGATGCAGGACTTCTTATCCTCTTTGAATAAAGCTCATCTTCTTAGGCTCTTAAAATTACTTTATAACTTTAAAAGTTTATATAATCATACTTTCTTGAATGGACAATATGTTCAAATCCAAAGTGTTTTAATAATGTGTCATATACTTACATTAAAGAATGATGGGTTAACATGAATGTTATTTCTGTAATGACTTTTTTCAGAGCTTAAATTACGCCAGATTAGTAATTGTTGAATTTAATGTTAATCTATTTGTATATTCACACAAATTGTAACATGATTAATGTTTAACATTTTCTTCACAGTAATGTTAATAGGATTTTACTTCACATTAAGAAATAACCTCTCTAAGTGTCTTAATGAAGGAGGGATGCCTGAGGTATTTTGGAAACACCTTCAAACTTGTCAAATTCTGATTTGTCTAAATTTGTAAACAGTAGTTAATAAAAGCTCGTTGACTTCCTGGACTAGCCAGTTCTCAGCCAGCTTCCCGGTTCAGCCGACCGGGTGAGAAAACACTTGGTACCATCCTCTCTTTTGACTCAAGGTCAAAGCCTCTTTGCAACGCTTGCCAGTGGCATCAGACGCGACAACTCATCAGAGGTGGAACGTCTTAGTAGCAGACCCTGGCAGCATCTTAGGGCTGACGACAATTGAATTCAAAGGGAACTACGACTCTTTGAGATTCCATGAGCCACTCCATCCTGTGACATCACCAATCTGGCTGTCTTTCCTCCGGACCGCCGAGACCTGCCGTCACACAAGGCTATCGCAGATCTGCACAGTGGCGTGGGATGGCTTTATGAATAATTGATAGCTTGTTAGACCATACAGTCGGTCTGATTTTACAACCCAGACATCACAAGATTTCTCAGATACTTAATAAGGTTTTGTAATGTAACACCTAAGCCTACATTCCATCATTTCATTCACTGTCTGTTATCTTGTCCAACCATCATTCATCATAATTTGTTCTGTGCCATCATTAGTTTAGAAATATAGAATTATATTCATTTTTATAAACTATATCCTTGACTCTGTATGAATTAATATGAAATGTGTGTTCCCTGAATAGTAAAAGAACCTAAGGTACTATTAAATCAAATACTCAAAGACCAGTCGGATTGATAATTCATATTTATATGGAGTATCACATCTTATTGATCATTTAATAAGTGTAACCACTTCCATCACGTTACAATAATAGTGACTAGAGATGGACCAGCCTGGGTTATTCTTTTGCCAGTACCAGTATGTTGAGGTCATGATGGCCAATAGGGTGCCTATGTTTTGGGCTGATTTTCATGGCCAATATCCAGATATTTCCACCTTGTTTACATGTTGCACGAATAACTGTAGATGCAACAACATCTGGG